GTTTTTTCTGGACTGCTTTTTCTTAAAACCTACACTACTCACCTTACCTGGGCCTCCAGCCTTTGCCTCACCATCACATGACAAAAATGAATGTCATGGAAAACAATACTGGCTTAAACCAGAATGAGGAAACAAATAGGCTCTAAATCAGAACAGATATTTGTACCTACCATGTTGTATAAGATTTTTTCTGTAAGTAATGTGAAGAGCTGCTTTTGTACCATGATAAATGAAACTAACTGACATTTTGATGTGTAGTAATGTCACTTAGGAGAATTTAATGTTTCAATTGTTGATTTTTTGCTATTTTTATGAAATAGCAAATAAACTTAATTGATAGATTTAATTGAACTGCAGAAATAAAATGATCCCTGTCTCCCTGTTCAAACTGTATAACTGCAATTATCACAAGGTTAACTAAAAGGAAGCCATGAAAATTTTTTAAACTGAAACTAAATCATTTCTAAGAAATCCTCTTGTTTGTCATTAAACATTCTTGTCATGCCTTTAATGTTAGAATGCTGTATGGAAGTACATTCTCAGAATTACTTTTAATAAAGGATTCAGGGGTCACCAACCCGGTCGCCCTTCAGGGACCTTTTCAGCCGCGGAGCCACTTCTAAAAATAGCCATTATCATTAGGGAGCACTAACAAAAAATTATTTAATTAAATGTTTCTATATTGAAGCAATGACGTTTGTTTATATTTAGAGTTCAAAAGAGGGAAATGATAAAAACGTTTAAAATAAATTGCTTTACGTATAAAACTCTTTCCGGCTGTTAAAGTTCAGAAACTATCGGAGCGCAGCAGCGCCTGCAGCTGCCCTCTTCATACCTTGACATTTTCCTTTAAGTAAAGGAAGAAAAGAATAACTTCTGGATTTTTTATTATTTAACCCTATTTACTATTAACAAAATTGTGAAGAAAAAATAAATAAATTGTGCCAAAACATCTTATTCGTAGCGCAAATCTGGGAATCAACACCGTCCTCTTTCCTTGAACCACATGAGGAGGCTTCGCTTCCATGTCTTTATTATTTAGCATCGTCTGGAAAAAAAGTCCACTGCTCTTGGTTTAGGTTTGTGCTTGTGCTCTTGCAGGTCAGGTGCAGTAATAGTTTTGTGTCGGACCTTTATTTTTACGACATCTGCTGGTGTCAGCCAGCGGGTGACCCGTCAGCTAATAAACCGGCGACCCGCCAGAACCGCGCAGACTGTCAGAAGCTCAGGCTGATCTTACAACAACGGGAGGTTCAAACCCAACTCGTTCATTTTTAGCTTATAGAAAAACGCAAAGCCGTGAAATAAACAAAAGTAAACTGATCAATAAGACTGAGGCTTTGGCGTGCCCCACCTCAACCCTCACACTGACAGCTGTGTGTGTATAATATGTTTTTACACAAAAGATATTTTATTTTCCACAATTTTGCTAATAGAACAGATGGTTAGATAATAAAACAATAACTTTTCTTTTTCATTTAAAGGAAAATTTTAAGGTCTCAATTCAATTAACTGCATTTATAAAGTTGGATACTATCAGGCCATTTTGTCATGTTTTTTCTTCTTCTTTTGATTCAGTTGCTAGAAAAGCTGCAATTGGGTTCTGAAAATTCTTATTTATGTGTTCTGATTTCATATGTTTATTTAGAGTTAGTAAAAGTAATAATGTCTAAGTCTTTTGTTTATTGCTTTTGCTTATTTAAGTCACTTGTGGCCAGTTTAGAATCACAGAGAAAAACTCCAAAAGGGAATCAAACTTAAAACTCTGTGAGCTAAAAACTTCTGATCACATAATAGCAATTAACCATAGCTGCCATGGTAAATTATTACTGATAACTATTGTGAGTGGTCCTGATTTAATATGATCAGGCAGTATTATCATATATATAAAGACTGTATCAAACAAGTAGCCCTTCGTGTTGCTCTGTACCCGTGAAGTAGCTCCCAGTCTCAAAAAGGTTGGTGACCCCTGGATTAGAGGGTGTGACTCTCTAGATAATTAACCCTAACCCAATGAACATGTCAAAAAGTATTTGACATGTTTTTGGCTACATGTCAAATAGTAAAAAGTTCTGTATATTTAAAGTGTTTTTTTTCTGGAATATATCTGGATCTGTATTTCTTTCCATTGAGATTTATTTGAAATTGACCAGATCTTTTATCTAATGGTGTTTCAGTCCAGAGGAAGAGGAATGTATTTTTCTGTGACTTCAATATGAAAAGATTTGAGTTTCAGGTAAGATAATTTAGGTAGATTATTACTGATAACTATTGTTTTGATGTTGCGAATCAAGCTAGTCAGGATTAGCAAATCAAAGTGGCTCAAAATATTAATATGGATGTTTTTATTAATGTCATTGTGTGCTTTGAAATAAAGATCTCTCTTGGTATAACTCCGGTGACACACAATGAAAAAAAAAATACTGTAGTTACAGAACATAACTTTACTAAGTGAATGAATGAAACTGCAAGTTTGAGCCATGAACCCATAAAAGCTACAAAAGATGTGGAGATTTTTCTGTAAATAAATAAATGTTATGGCAAACTGGACAAATGAATTAACATTCAGCATTATAATGAATACTGACATTATTACCATGTGCAACACTGAAAAATCAATAAAATATAGCCAGAATGCATCACTCATGAAAACATTTGGCTTGGCAGCGTGAAATGAATTTAGATACATAATAAACACTCCATCTGGTGGCACATTAAAAGGTTGTTTTTATCTTTTTAGGAGTATTTGATCAATGAGATAAAATTTATTTATTTGAGTGAATAATAATAAATTAAGAATGAATTAAATTGATGTAATAGTATCAGAAAATAAAATTTAAAAAATAAGGTGACATATGTGTCATATTTACTGATGGTCTGTAAACATCCCAAATGTAGAAATGACCATATTTCACGTAAAAAATCAAATAAATAATAATAATAAAAAATCTTATCACTAATCTTTGCATTTTCTTTTCAGTAATCATTTACAATTTCTAGTAAGTAATTAACTGACTGAATCACTTTCTCTGTGATGCCTGACCTCAGTCAGTTTCCTGTAGAAACTGAAATTCAATTAACTGCATTATAAAGTTGGATACTATCAGGCTATTTTGTCATGTTTTTTCTTCTTCTTTTGATTCAGTTGCTAGAAAAGCTGCAATTGGGTTCTGAAAATTCTTATTTATGTGTTCTGATTTTATATGTTTACTTAGAGTTAGTAAAAGTAATAATGTCTAAGTCTACTAAAGTTAAAAATATATCAAGCTATGTTTACTGTTTGGTCAAATTGTTTTATGTTAATAGACAATCTTCAGAAACATGCCAAAAAAGAATAATAGATTAGTTTTCTCTGCTTTTTGTTATTAAAGATGGCGTAGCTGTGATTAACATAACTGCTCTATGGTGAGTAGAATTGGAGTCAATCCACAAAGTCTTTAAAGGTTCCACCTGCTGCTGCTTTAGCACCATCTGCACGTTTAGTAAACACTAGCAAGTGTCTAATAGTCGCCATCTAGCGTCCAAATGTATAACACATAAACACCTCTGGTGTCGTTTATCAAACCAAAAGTATTTTATTCCTGAAAGTTCGCAACAAATTCAGACAAAGATGAAATACACATAGACAAAAAATAATTTAAAAAATAATATCTATTATAGACCCGCCCCCCTTTAAATTCCTGAAAGATGATCCTTACTTGAAGCTTCTGGGGTGAAGAAGTTGGCCTGGAAACCCCGAAGACTCCGAGCTGCATCCTTTTTGATAAACAAGAGTTTGTGAGCTTTGGTTACGTAGCAAAGAAAGATTACCTTTCAAAAAAGGGCCAAGAAGCGAGACACATGTTGTTCTTTGACTGCTTCAAGATGGCGCTCTATGGCAATGTGAGTAAAATTCTACTAATCATTAGAGGTAAATGAGTTCAAATAAAATTATTCAGGGAATATTGTCATTTATTTCCTGAATATATGACTATAGGCAGAATTTGTGGTTGATTTACATTTTATTTTTATAACCTTGACAAGTATATATATATATATATATATATATATATATATATATATATATATATATATATATTCTCTTGAAGAAGAATCACTCAATTCCTGTCATCTTTCCTTGGAGTGTTGTCAACCTTCAGATCCCAGCAGGCAGGCCAAGCCCAGCCCTTTAACAGGTTCTTTTGGCTTGCCATTCCATAACTGCCGGAATCCTTTCGGTGTATTGACCTCTGACTCGAAGGACCAAAAATATGTCAGATTTATCACCTACTAAACACAGATTAAACAAACACAGGGAAGACAAGAGGGTTAGATTCTTTCTTACGTGCGAGGAGAACAGACAGTGATGTGCTTTCAGTTACAATCTCCTTCCGCTCTAAAACCACATTTGCCTGCTCCTCTCTTTTTATTGTTTTTAGGATCCCTAATCACAAAGAACGTTGAAACTCTAAAGGGAAGGGAAAACACTTCATCACATAGCTATAGCGCCAGTGACAATCAGTACGACACAGGGTTAAACAGAGCAAGTTGTACATCTTCACTGTCATAGTTTTATAGCAATCCAGCCGGTCATAGAGGCCTTGCTTCCTGCTGAGAGATAAACCTGCAGAAACCTGCTGTCACTGCTTTCCTTCAGTGAGGCCTTCTGAGAAAGGAATCAGACTAATTCAACCATACAGAAACATTCTTAATTCTAAGATGAAATTAAACAATAAAAGCATATAAGAAAAGATGCATTACAAAGATGAATGAGAATAACAAATATTTAATTAATAATATCACAATTTATCCAACAGCAACCATTCTGAGGGAACTAAATAATACAATATAATCACATAAAATCGTAGAAACATGAGAAAGAACTGTAATACATTTTCTTTAAATTATTTGCTCTTTATTTGAAATCTAGTTACTGCTGGTTATAATTAGATAGATAGATAGATAGATAGAAAAACACTGGTGAAATTTGTAGATAAACACAATAAATAGCAAAAATGAAACCCATTGAAATAAGTTTTTATTTTCATCAAAAGTCAAATCAAACTTTTGTTTCGCCTTTGTTGTTCAGAATTCAACATTTTGCAAACATAGAAAGTATCTAATCATGTTTAATTTCTAGAATTTACACCGTTCTATAGACAATAAACCAGATTAATAGAAGCTAACTAGATGTTTTCAAAATACCCCTAAAAATAAACCTGTTAACTACTGGCCTGTTTATAATTCAGCAGTAGCACAGATTTATATAAAACAGTCATTCAATTAAATTAAAGTCAAACTGCAGTACAAGATGCTGCACAATGGAGGCAAACCAAGAGTAACAGAGAAAAACATGTTCAGGTTCACAGGAAACTCAGATGAATACATAAAATAAATATAATAGCCAAACTGTTTTAAATTTATGATGTTTAAAAAAGGTTTGAAAATAAAAAATTGCAACTAAGCAAACTTATTAGGCTTTATTGAGCTTTTAAAAACAATAATCACAAACATCTATTTTCAACTAAATTAAAAGCTGCAGCTTTACGATCTATTAAAGCTGTCACACTTTCATTTTTTCACAGATTCAAAGATGTAGAAAGCGATATTGTTTCTTGATTCATTTAATTTCACTCATAGTCAGAAGCAGTTCTGATATTTCGAGGGAAAACGTCCCATCTATCCATCGATGGAGGATGATTCTCCCAGTCAGGCTGAAGAGGCGGGTTGTTTAACGCCATCAGGCAACCAAGCCAGTAACATTCAGAACCCAAATACTTCAACACATCCTGAGGATTTGCTGCTTCATTTTCAAGAAAGGGTTTCTGTTGACAGTAAATAAATAAAAGTGTTAGTTTGCTGTGTTAATTTTATGTATGGTAAGTATTTTTGGATAAGTCAAACCCACCTGTGAACCAGCATCTTGTTTCTGGCTGTAGAGAGTCATCTGCAGGTTCTGAACTGTTAGCTGTCGGTACTGATCAACCTGAAGGAACAAACCTGAGTTCAGACACACAACTGGACCACAAGACATGACTTTAAAGAACATATTACCTTTTGTGGCATTCCTCCATCATTCTTCCCTTTTTCAAACACTTTATCTATCATCTTTCTTCTGTTTCTCATGTCAATCTTTGCGTCCTGAAACTCTTTCTGGCATTATAGGTAAAAAATAGAGACAAACAGGAACAGTGAGGGGAGAAAAAGTAATATTAGTTTGTTTCAGATGTTCAAGAAGGAAGTCCAAAGTTGAATTTTGTGTCAACATAACTACCAGAATCAGTTCTTTCACAGAATCTGGATGTTTCTTGTTTGACTTTAAGTTTTTTTTTATTTTTGGCCAGTCACACCTCAGGTCTTCATACATTTCCTTCAGTCTGTTCTTATTAACAGGATATTTGAGGCTCATTGTTTTTCCTGTTTTGATTGACACAGCAACTTCTCCTGCCACTCTGTAAAAACCACACATATTCATTACAGAAAACTATTTTTCTACATTTATTCTTTGCAGTATTGGTGAAAAAAACATTTTAACTGACAGTCCCACTGTGAAAAACAAAATAAAACCCATCCAGTACCTGTCTTTGAAAGATTTCAGTTGTTCATCTTTTTCTTGTAGAGCAGATCTGTGCAATATAAAAATCCACTTTTAAAACATTCCAAGTCTCATTTATTGTTTCAAGAACCAAATCAAATACATAAAAACTTTCTGACAGAATTATATATAAATGTTTTTAACTGTTGATGTTATTTGGACTAGAAATGAAAACAAGAAAAGATGTCCAGGTGTTTTTTAACTACTGCTGTGTTATTTCTAGTGGTTATTGATTAGTTTCAATGATCAATAGATAACTTAATCAACCACCTGACATGTGACAACTCCATTGTGCATTGTTACCTTGATTGTTGAAGTTGTGCTTCCATCTCTTTTACTCTGTAAAATCAGTGAACATGTTTATCAGAATGGATTCAATAAGTTCACACAATATTCTAAGAAAACAGGAAGAAAGGAAAAATAGTAAGTTCTTAAAATGTCTAGTTTTAAAATTCTTTGCCAGACAATTTTAAAGACATGTTCATTATTTACTCAACATTAATAACAATGACTCGTTGAGTAAAGCTCAACAGAATCAATTAATGTTAGCACGTTGTTGTGGCAACATGATTTCCTTTCCACTTTAATCCTATCTGTCATTTTTCTACTTTTTCTGTGTGATACATCGTGTTTGCTTCCATTGTGAAATACTAATGCATTTCTTTACTGTCACATTGGAATAAATGTGAATTGTTTAATTGGTACAGAAGTCTTCATTTAATGCTACATATTTTAAAAATATTAAAGATAATGTTTTATATTTAGCTGTTTGAATCAGCTGAAAGTTTCACAATAATATTTAGAAAGATTTCATTTCATGTGAAAATCTGGAAAATCGAATGACCTTTGCAGCAAGGTTTCAGTTTCCTTTTGCTTTTCTTTACATGTAGATCTGTGAAGTAAAATACAGAATAAAACCAGCCCACAGTGGATGAATGAATGAATGAATTCACTTCATCAATTGAAGCTGTTATTTATCTTAAGGTGTTTCATCAGCTCACAGTCATTGAAAATGAAAAGAATATTTTCTGTTTTAAATCAATGGATGTAACATTCGTTTGAAAGCTTCAATAACACCAGAATGCTTTTTTGCAGGCTTCAGTTCTGCATTCAATAATGACATCCACTTTCAGTTAATCACCACACTTATAAAGCCTCAATCAGTAGTTTTATGACTTTTTGACCAGCAGGTTTCATCATATTTAGTTCGACCATCATAGCTTCTTCAATTATTAATACTGGTGTACCACAAGGCTGTGTAACGAGTCACTGTAAATGTGATTTATTGCTGTGAATCAACACAATTTGTAGCTCGACTGAGGTAAACAAATTGAGCTGACAAAAAAAATTGAACGTAGATGTATTTTTAAGTTTCAGATGTTTTTTTTAACTCTACCTTTGATTCAGTTTCTCATGTTCATCTTCCTTTTTTATCAGAGCAGATCTGTCGATGAACAAAGACAGCAGAAGAAGTTTGCACTCTTTAAAAAATCACAAGTTGAGCAAGACACTGGATCTTCTGGATTAATATTGTAGAATATTTTACAGATAATTTACATTGCATATTATTGATATACTACTACTACAATATATGGAAACACCATGTTATTAAACTTCTGGACTCTTCAGGGTTTTCCAGCTACATAGACCATGTTGAACCAACAAGTAACTCCGATGCCCTGAACAAGCTGTTTACTTATGTTTACTCAGTGTGAAGGTCACTTTGTCAACCACCTGAAGCTCCATTTGGGCTTTATTACCTTGACTGCTGAAGTGATCAATAAGTTCACACAATGATTAAAGAAAATAGGAAGAATAGATGAATGGCAAACTCTAGAAAAGTTCTTTTTTACAATTCTTTTTTAAGGTAGAGACCATTCAATTTTAACGACAAATTGTTCAGTTAACATTCATAACAACTCATGTTTTCAGCATGCAAGACAGTAGAGCTCAACAGAATTGTATTTTCTTGTGTTTTGTTGTTTTTTTCACTCCCTGTTCTTTTAGACAGTAGAACAGAGACATACATAAATCATCATCAACTCTGTGTGATGGTCATTTATTTACCATCACATTGATGGTAAATAAGACTTTCCTACTGGTGTTAGGAAGATCTCATAGTAACAAAGTTTCAAAAAACTACCTTTGCAGCAAAGCTTCAGTCTCCATTTGCTTTTCTTTAGATGCAGATCTGTGAAATAAAATACAAAGAATGAAACCAGCACACAGAGAATGAATGAATAAATGAATGAATAAAAGAATTAATGTATTTACTTCATCAACTGAAGCTGTTCATCCTTCTCATTTATTCTGTTTAAAAGCAACAGAGTTATTTATCTTAAGGTGTTTCATCAGCTCATAGTCATTGAAAATAACACTTCATGTTTTAAATCACTGGATGTAACATACATTCTTTTGAGAGCTTCAGTTTCCTTTTCTTTGTCTTTCAGAAATCTGTGGAGCAACATAAGCAGCTTATTCAGATTTATTGAAACACTTATAGACTAAAATTGTCTGTTATCTCTTAGATAACAGACAATTTCATTGATTAGTTTATAATGTATTATTAGTCCATTCCCTTAATCATAATTTTATCACTTAAAGCACTTTGAACTGCCATTTTGCTAAAAGGTGCTACAAATAAACATGACTTGACTTAAAGTGCATCAGACTGGAAACGGATCATTGATAGATTCAGATATTGCAGTGGGAAATTGAAAAATGTAGACACATAATTGCTCACCTTGCATTATGATTCTGTTGTTGGTGAAAGGCTTGAAAACTGTAGAAGTTAAAATGTTTGTATAAATCACATCACATTAATAATTTGTCATAAGAAACATAAAATGTTCTCAATTAAACAAACAAAACACTGCAGAACATTATGACATTCCTGGACAAGTTTCTACTGGATAGTTAGTGGAGATCCTGACAGACTGTCATCCTGACAGACTGTCATCCTGACCCCGCAATGTTGTTATGATGGACTGCTTCAAACCACCTCATTGTACAGGTATCAAACACTCATCACTGTGACCAATTAGTGGTCACACTAATTGCCTGGTTCTGGTACATCTTATCCTCTGTTTAACCCCAATCCTGAACGTCCATCAAGTTGCCCACTACAAAATGGAGGATCTGAACATCCAGCATCTATAATGCAGTGTGTTTGCTCACATCTGGACAATAACACTAGAATGCTGTTTGTAGGCTTCAGTTCTATTTTTAATAATTAATCTCTTTAAACTAATTGCTAAATTGATGGAGCTCCAATCTGTAGCTGACTATTGGACTTTCTGACCAGCAGGTTCCATCATATTTCATTAAACATCACAGCTTCTTAACCACAATTATAATTACTGGTGTACCACAAGGCTGTGTAACAAGTCACTGTTGCTGTGAATGTGATTTATTTATTTATTTTTTTACCTTTGGTGGATCAAGAAAATTTGTAGTTAGACTGAGGTGAACAAATTGAGCTGAACAGAAGAAAAAAAATAATGTAGACATATTTTAAAAAGTTTCAGATGATTTTTTAACTCTACCTTTGATTCAGTTTCTCATGTTCATCTTCCTTTTTTATCAGAGCAGATCTGTCAGTGAACAAAGACAGGAGAAAAAGTTTGCACTGTTTAAAATAGTTGAGCAAGACACTGAGTCTTCTAATCTTATAAAATATATTACAGATCACTTGCATTGCATATTATTGATATACTACTACTACAATATATGGAAACACCATGTTATTAAACTTCTGGACTCTTCAGGGTTTCCCAGCTACATAGACCATGTTGAACCAACAAGTAACTCAGATGCCCTGAACAAGCTGTTTACTTATGTTTACTCAGTGTCAAGGTCACTTTATCAACCACCTGAAGCTCCATTTGGGCTTTATTACCTTGATTGTTGAAGTTGTGCTTCCATCTGATAAACTCTGTAAAAGCAGTGGACATTTTCATCAGAACGTGATCAATAAGTTCACACAATGATTAAAGAAAATAGGAAGAATAGACTAATGGAAAACTCTTGAAAAGTCCTGTTTTACAATTCTTTTTTATCGTAGAGGCCATTCAATTTTAACGACAAATTATTTAGTTAGAAATCATAACTCATTTTTTTAGCGTGCAAGACAGTAGAGCTCAACAGAATTTTAGTTTTCCTGCATTTTCTTGTTTTTGTCACTGCTCTGTTATTAGGCTTCTGGACTCATCAGGGGCGTCCAGCTTTCTAGACCATCTTGAAACAAGTAACTCAAATAACCTGATTATGTTTGATTTGATTATGTTATTGATTAGTTTCAATGACCACTAGATAACTTAATCAACCAACTGACATGTGAGAACTCCATATGTACATTGTTACTTCTTTTAGACAGTAGAACAGAGACGTAAATAAATGATCATCAACTCCATGTGATGGTCATTTATTTACCATCACATTGATGGTAAATAAGACTTTCCTACTGGTGTTAGGAAGATCTCATAGTAACAAAGTTTCAAAAATCTACCTTTGCAGCAAAGCTTCAGTCTCCATTTGCTTTTCTATAAATGCAGATCTGTGAAGTAAAATACAAAGAATGTAAACCAGCTCACAGTGGATGAATGAATTAATGAATGAATTCATGAATGAATTAATGTATTTACTTCATCAATTGAAGCTGTTCGTCCTTCTCATTTATTCTGTTTAAAAGCAACAGAGTTATTTATCTTAAGGTTTTTCATAAATTCAGAAAAAAAAGAAAAATAAATTTCATATTTTAAACCACTGGATGTAACATACGTTCGTCTGAGAGCTTCAGTTTCCTTTTCTTTGTCTTTCAGAAATCTGTGGAGCAACATGAACAGTTCACCCTGAATCAATGCAAAACCATCAACTGAACAAACACTGGCTGCAGTCTGATGAGATAATCAATCTCATTGATTATTTCTGCTGAATTAATCAGATAGCAGCCACATTGTTTGGCTGCTATCTGATATCTGAGCCGTTTGGCCTTCATTTATAGTTGATAGTAACTATAAAATACATTGTTTTAACATTTAAAAAAGCAAATACTTACTTCATATTATGTTGCTTTTGTTGAGCAGCTTCCTTCTCTTGGATCCTGACAAAAATTATAAATTTTTTTTAGTTTTTACAAACCAAAACATTTTTTACTCTGGCTGGTTGTTCTGTCAAAATTTAGAGTTAATTAAAGTGTGAATCTGTTTTTTCATCAGTAATGCCATTTACTAATGAAAAAACAATAGATTCATTGGATGAGGCATTTAGTAAATACCACATCTTTACAAAAAATATAATAAATAAGATGTTGCATGTAGAAAAGAAATATGATTAGTGATTCTGCCATTGCAATAAAATCAATGGGTTATCAATAGTTATTGAAACTATTCTGGCAATGTTAGAGAAGCCTCCTTTGAAAATTTTAAACATTTCATTTAGCATTTTTAATTACTTGACCTATCAGACTCCCATAGTTTAGAAACTGTTTACTTATTGTTAAAAACTTGGAACAAGAAGTACTTATGTACTTAGACCTCAGTTTTCCTTTTGCTTTTCTTTAAGCACAGATATGTTGAGTGAAACACCCAGAATGAAAACCAGCTCACAGTGAATGAATGAATGTTGAAAAATATTTACCTTATCAGTTCAAGTTGTTCATCCTTCTCCTTTATTCTGTTTAAAACCAACACATATTTATCTTGATGTCCCATATCAGCTCACAGTCATTGACAAAAAACAAATTCCATGTTTTAAATAATTTACTGTGACATACATTCGTTTGAGATCTTCATTTTTCTTATGAGATGATCTGTAGAGCAACTTACTAAATTAATCCAAACATACTGGCTAAACAAATCTTGGCCTCAGTTAGATAAATCAATAAACTTTTTAAGTGTTTTTTCTACTGAATTTAATGTAAGTCAAATATTTAAATCCAGTGATGTTGCTTCTGTTCGTTATTTTTCATGTCTTCAAACCTTTTAACAAATAAATGATTTCATGAATGTTTGTTCACACAAATCTCTTTTTTAAACTAATAATTCTTTACAATAAATCCCCATAAATAATTAGCAACTTAGCAAATCAGATAAGAAACTGAGTTATTGTGTTTTCACAGTTAAGACTGTAAAGTGAATATCTTTTGATTAGAGCCGAAATCAAGATTCGGTGAACAAAATATTGTCTGTTTTTTAAGTCACTAAACTTTTCTTATTGTCCCCCCCAAAATACAGTGTTTCACATTAAAACATTTTAATACCTTTCTTTCAAGTCTTGAATTTCCACATCCTTTTCTTTTAGAGCTGATCTAAGAAATCAAACAAACAGATTAAAAACCAGCTCAAGAGAGACAAGAATAAAGAAATAGACATTAAAATGAAAAGATATTTACCTTGTGTTTTGATGTTGCATTTCTTCATAATTTAATCTGTGTAAAAACAACAGTCATGATTATCTTCATGTTTCCTGTCAGGTTTTACAGCCATCATATGAAAACAGGGAGAATAAAAAATTTAGCACATTTGAAAAGTCAGATTATGAAATCCACTACAAAATATCTGACCACTCTGTTTTAAGATATATTATTTATTTTACTGTAATGGTAACTTTTAATAAATAATAATCTGTAAGGATGTGAAGGAGAAGAGCTCCAGTTAGTTTTTGCTGTCTTCACTTTGAGACAGCAGCTTTGTTACCAGAGAAAGAAACAATCTATAGGATGAACAGACATGAATAAATTAATGATGCAGGAATCAAACTAGATGACCAGAGGAGGGATAAAATAACGCTCACACATTGTTTATATTTTGTTTTGTGTCAATATTGTGGGGAAATATTTTTGTTGATGGTGAAGTTTGAATCATGAAGTGAGTGATGATGATGTTCCAGGTCACTTTTACCTGAAAAGGATGTTTTTATTTTTCATGGCAGGTCATTCTGATAAGGAAGGTAAAGAGGGAGTTCAAGCTTGGAAAGACAAATAACTCTAAAAAGAGTTTTAAGCTGTCATGTTTTTGGTTTTAATATATCTCAGTGGTGGAGAATATCAGGAAAAACTCCTAGAGCTCCAGGATGAAACGAGACAAGAGAAGCTGCCTTTTCTAATGATGTGCATTTGATTGGTTACAACAATCAAATCCACAACAATAGTTATGAAATCATATCAAAGGTCTTATAACCATTAAGAAGTCAGAGGTTTTCTGGAATTTTTAATCTGTATTCAGATGTGCTGAATAAATCTCCTGGTTGGTCTGATTGGAGCAAAGAGGTTTGAATCCTGTGTGATGATTTTTCTTAACTTTGCCCTCAAAAATCTCAGCTTCTTCTATTATAAAAATAGATGGGAAAATCACTTTCTTTAACTTATTTTTGATCATCATGTATGATTCAGAGAAGTAAACATTTTGTATCCAAATCATTGAGTCAAACTGGACGTGCTGACAGAGTTTAGAAATTGTTAATTCATTGTCAACGTCTGGCAACATGAAGTACCTTCGCTGCAAGTCTTCAATTTCACGTTGCTGTTCTTTAAGTTTAGATCTGTGGAGTGAAATAAACAGAATAAATACCAGCTCACTGTGAATGAATGAATGTTGCTAAAATATTTACCTTATCTCTTTAAGTTCTTCATTTTTCTCCTTTTGTCTGTTGAAAAGACAAATTTATCTTTTCAATTGCAGCTCATGCAGTAATTAAAAAAGAAAGAAAATCTAATTCCATCTTTCAAACCATTTACATTTGTTTGAAAACTTCAGCTTCCCTTTCCTTTTTCTTACAAGAAGATCTGTGGAGTACAATGAGGGTCTCATTCATTTAATGGAAAATGTATCAGCTAAAAAACCTGTTTCCAGGGAAACAGAAAGAAAAGATCTGAGCAGTCATACAAAATAAGAAGAGAAGGAACAAATTGATGGAGGAGTCAAACTCTTGCTGGTCACAGGAGTGAAATCAAATAATAAAAAATACGATCTAACAGCAGCCATCTTGTTTAGCTCAGCACTTCTCGCTTCACAAAAGAGGGATGTGTTTTTTTACAGTGCATGCAATGTGCAGAACCTCATCAACAAATATAACGACTGGACAAAAGTTGGAATCTCAACAGAGTTCACGCCTCTAGGAATCAATAGTTTCTCAAGAGGTGAAAGGTCAGATGTTCTGTATGAAGCAAAGTGTAGAAAAATAATATGGTTTTAAGCATGTTACATGAATTATTCAAAAACAATGAAAGATTTGCAGCATTGAAAAAAATGCATTACCTTTTTTGAGCTCAACGTTATATTCTCATTTTATATTAATAAATTAGTTAATTCTACATACCTTTGCAGGAGTGAGTCTGTTTCCTTTACTTCTGCAGATGCTCTGTGGAGTAAAACATCCAGCATGAAAAACGACTCATTCAGAAGTTTTCTAAGACTTGTTGAGAAACAAACACTAAACTTGGGATGAATCTCCAAAAATAATCCTGCTGCATTTTCTACTGAATATTTACTTTGCACTGGTTTGAGAACATGGAAACTGGAATGTATGTATGTATATACATCTGTTGATTCTGGTAAACAATTTATTGGTTTTGCATTTCCATTCCAATTACTTTTTAATCAAAGCTGTAATGGCCAACATGAAATGATTAATATATTTAAACAAATATATTACTCATATATGAGTGATATATGGGTAATATTATAACTAAGGTATTGTGTATAGATCAACATGGGGAAAATTAATGATTTAGTACTTAAACTGAAGCTTAAGTACTAAAATATTCTAATTCAATTAGGAATACAAAATACAGACAATGAGAGTCTGTAATTCAGACTTCCACTGAGTTTCAATTCTTTCTGCCTGCAATTTTAATTTTCCCATTTGGCTGGTTGATGTTGGTTTTTCAGAATCTGTTCAAAGTCTCTAAACTGCAGAACACAACTGTGGTTTGTTATTCTCAAATTAAAGTCAGATATTTACCTTCTCTCAGAATGTGTCTGCTGCTGAACTTCATCAACATGCTGGAAGCTTAATCAAAACATCCACAAAAAATATTACAATAATTAGGTTAGCACCACCTGTTGTTCAAATGCAAATATTTATTAATTATTGCTTTTTTACTTTATATGCAACATTCCTTTGATTCAGTCATAATGTATCCCAGAATTGATATGATTTCCCATCATAATGCCCACATTGAGCAGGTACAGAATCTGATAATCATTAATAAAGAAAATAAACCTATTAGGAAGCATTTTGTCACAATGTGTTTCATCACCTCCTACCTCTGTTTCATTGTCTTTATTTCCTCATAGAGAAACTGGTTGCCTCCATCTGCCAGGGCAGATTTACTCAGCAAAAATTACATCTGAAGATGATTTTCTAATTGCATGATTGAGTTAAATAAATGAAAACTGCATCAAGAGTCAAAGTTAGTAATTTTTGTCAACTTTAAATGTTCCAAATTTCTAAACACTTTATGAATCTTTCTGAGCATAATCATAAAGATAAACCAAAACATGATTAAAATTTTATAGTATTGTGCTCAATCCATAACCCTACTGAAGGAAATGTTTTAGGTTTTATCACATGAAACCAAATTTCATTCACACAGAGATGCATAAACCTACACAGTTTTTCATAATTTTTGTTTTTAATACCATTATTTATCACTAAATCATTAAATACAATTCTTGAAAACACCCATCCTAGCTCTGTTGTGGAAAAAAAAATGATCCAGTTGTTTTATGGGAAAGAGGTTAAAGTTAATCAAAAAAATGAAAAATCAGAGAACTCTTACCTGACCTCTTCATGTTGCCGTTGGAAGAAGTTTTTAATCTGGTCAAGCCTTCAGAAAGTAATTTATACAGATGTTAGTTCATATGAATCACACAAGATCACTTGTTTATTATGATGCTAGTTGATACATAGAAGATCACATGATGGTGAACCAAGACATTCTGCTGAGAAGTGAACATATAAATCAAACTATTATGAAGAAAGGGAACTTCCAGAGAGTTTTAAATCCAGCAGCCAAACTAAAGACTTTCCTGATGACAGACATAAGAAGCTTTGAAATTCAGACTTTTGAATCTGACAGAAAAACTAGATTGTACTAAATGCATGCAGAGTAAAATATGCATTATGTGCATTAATGGGGACTTTTTGTATTTACATTTATGTCACTGCTGTCCTCTTCTAGTGACAACAGATGCACAGAGACTAAAGGTGCAGAAGAAAAATTATTATTCCTGACCAGATAAATAAGTGATGTGTCACCTCACAGTTCTGGTCGAGGTCTACAAGATGAACTGGAACTGACCAGTTGAATGGGAGAATTTTTTATGTTCACATACTAAACCTTTTTTATTGTATGCGATTTAAAATTAATTACCTTTTTAGCAGAAGTTTCATTTTTTCTTCTTTTTCTGAAAATCTGCAAATTAACATGCACAACATAACAACAGGCTCACACTGAATTGTATTGGATTTAAAATCTATAATACATTCTTAGTAAATGCTAGAAGATATTTACCTTATGTTAAGACCTGTTTGAAAATCTTCCAATATTTGGATTCTTAAAAATTATCACAGAATATTAGTTTTGACAAAAAATAAATAATAAATGAATTAAAAAATAAATATATATGCATATATACTTGTTTTATTAATTGTTCTTTCTTCAATGAAAATTGAACAAACATTGGTTGACAGTACCTTTCCTGAAGGGAAAGCATGTTTGCTGTTTTGATATCTTCTCTGTAAAAATAAAAAAAAAAAAAAACAAATTATGTTACCAACAAATTCTTAAATTTGTTGGCAACAAAAATGATTACAACTGTAACTCATATTATTTTAAAGTGTCTTCCTAAAGAGTAAAGAAGAGCAGGACTCATTCTAAAGCCGTCCAAACTGAGCGACTGGGGAAGAATATAATAATAATTCCTTAGTGAGGGAGATGACAGAATCTGATGGTTACTCTGTTAGAGCTCTGAGAAGATGTGAAAACCATCCAGAAGGACAAACTATTTCTGCATTAATCCACCAACCTGATCACTGTGGTAGAGTGACCAGACACAAGCTAATCCCTTATAAAAGACACATTGGCAGCCCAGCTGGAGTTTACCAAAAGTCACCTGAGGGACTGTCTGATCTGACGAGACAAAGGTTGAACTCTTTGGTGTGAATGTCAGGCATCATGTTTGGAGGAAAATCTAAAGCCCATGCAGTGAAGCATGGTGGTGGCAGCATCATTCTGTGGTGGTGTTTTGCAGCAGCAAGATCTGGGAGACTAGTAGGGAAAACCTGCTGCATGATGCCAGATTGCTGTCCCCCCAATGGTTCTTTAGAACATCGACCCAAAGCACATGGCCAAGATCTGAAAGGTTTCTCCATAGAAATGTGAAAGTGGCTGCACATGTCCACCAGCCAACCTGATGAACCTGGAGAAGATCAGTGGGCTAAACTGACTAAAGGTTGGTGACATAAGATGGTGCCTTTATATTTAAAAAGTCTTGAGGCTGTAATTGCTGCCAAAGGTGGATCAACAATGAAGCAAAGATCGTGATCACTTGCATAAATCTTGTTTTCATTTTTAAGAAATTAGCAAAAAAAATAAACACTCAAAATCTTTTATTCCCCATATTTTCATAATGAAGTATTTGTGCATAAGATATTAGGAAACATATTACAACTTCAAATAAGACTGTGACCTAACAAAATATTGAGAAACTGAAGACAAGGGAAATCACTAATGTGGATGAGCAATTACAGGATTTAGCATTTTAAGGTAAAACGTTGGTTTCTAAAAGCTCTGATCACTTACTGACAGCATTAAAAGTAAGTAGTAATTTTATTATTATGCTCATTGCACCATCAGTACCTTTGTAACTGAGATTCCTTCTCATCTAGTTGAAGAGCAGATCTGTGGAGTGAAAAATCATAAAAATGCTATAAACTAATCAAACAACTGCATTCAGAGAAAACAAATTAAATCTGGTAAATTTACAACACAAAATTAGTGATGAACAATTGTTTTTCCAAAAGGTAAAAATTTTCTAAATTCAGAGTCAACATCAGTCCAGATACTTACGTAAATTGGTGATCTTCTTGTCTCTGGATTTCTTCAATCTGTTCAATACTTTTGAATAAAAATCAAATTAGTTATTTTTGAAAAAGAAAAATTAGAGGTTTGCTGGGGAAAATATAGAAATATTTAAAACATTTTCAGCCTGTATACAGATATTATTGTGTGGCAGTTTGGAGAACTTTATGGTTTTTGAATGAGCTTCACAAATAAACTGAACTTGAACCTAAAATAATTTTTGAGCTGCATAATATCACAGTTTACTACCGTAGAAAATCTTCCTCAACCTTCCATCATCCTCATCTGTCACAGCAATGTTAACAACTGTGACTGTGAGGAGAAAACTAGTTTAACGTGATTTATTTCTTATTAGACCGATCAATAAAACCGTGACAAAAAAACAGTAAATGACTCCAAACCTTTAGAACTGACTTGTTTATATTCTCTGCCTCAGTTTCTCTCTATGCTTGAATTCAATTCAATTCAAAAATACTTTATTTATCCCAAATGTTGTTAAAACTCATTGATTCAGGTTCTTCAAAGCGTTATTGTAGAAGCTAATGACTGTTGGCAGGAAAGATCTTTTCTAACAGTCTGTATTACAGTGAATTTGAAGAAGCTTCTGACTGAAGATCCTCTGTTTTTCCAAGACAATGTCATGAAGAGGATGCTCAGGGTTGAACATAATTTTCTTGATTGTTTCTGTATTTTTTCACTTTTCTTTTCTATGCCCCAAATCTGGTTTGCTGTTAATCTAAACCAACATCTCTAACATATTTTAGCGTCTATGAATAGAACATTACCTTTTTTGGAGTGAGTCTAGCTTTTCCTTTTCCTGTTCCAAAGCAGATCTGTAAAATTAGTGAGACAGTTATAAAAATACAAATAAACAAAATATACACTTTTAATAAAAGGATTTAACCCAAACACAATAGTCGGAGGATCTTCTGGATTAATCTTGACAAATTTACCAGCTTGGAACTTTACATTAATTGAGTTAAGTGACTTTTTTTCAGCCTTTATATTTCCTTTAAATCAGACTGAAGTTTACCTTATCGCATGATGCTGGTCTTCATGGTCAGATTCAATTTTATTGCTTGAAAAACAACAAAAATGTCAGTTTGGTCAAATAAATGTGTAGTTTGTCAGAACTTTTTTTTTTCAATTCAATTAAAATGCCCAAATGGAGATTTTTTTCTTCAAAACATACTGAATAACACTGATGGAAGGAAAGAAAACAATTTAAAGCCTGACACTATGGCTCCTACTTCTGGAGGAGAAATGCTTTTTCACATGGAGCCATGTAAGTTTGGATGTTTTTCTCCTTTAATAATAATCAGCACCTTAATTTTAAAGTGCATTTTGGGTTTACTTGTGTTGCTTTGGACTAATATTTGAATTGGTTTGATGTTCTGAAACATGTATAAAAAAGATAACAATAAATCATGTCTACTGTATTTATAGCAGCCATTAACTGAAAAAAAAAAGAAACAACAAAAATAAAAATAAAAAAACAAAAACAAATGAATAATTTTTAGATGCACCATGTGCCAGCATATATTACCTGGGGTTCTGGTTTCCAGTCCAATTCAAGTCATTATTGGAACTCCTGAACACCCTTCTCAGTGGCCTCATCACTGTCTGGAAACGTGATGAGCTGTTCACGATCCTAAAATACAGAATAAAACATTAAAATAATGACAGAAACAATTGGAGCAATCTAAAAACCTTCTTGTTTAAAGAAGGGTTATTTTCTAAATTTAATATTATGCTAAGAAAAGTAAATATGGAATCCAGTACAGATGTACCACTTCAAATATTTCAGGCCTGCTATTTCTGAGGAAATTAATTTTTAAATTTAAGGTTTAAAATCCATGGATTTCATCTTTTGTTGTCGTAGTAACAGATTATATGAATAGGATGTCTCCACGTGGCTACAAATCTAATCACTTTAAACTTGTGTAACTACTATTGTGCATTATGACACATTATGAATTTTAGAAGATTTGTTTTGAAAACTGGTTAATTTTCCAGTTCCATCTCAAAAGTTTATTTGAAGATGTGGTAAAAATAGCATGTAGCTCAACTTAGAGAATAATATTTTGTTACTCATCCAACTTTATTTTGACTCGTCACATTGAACATAAATGTGTAAACATTAGTTTATGATATAAGATTAAATATTCATCATTAAGCCTAGTTGTTCTGTGAAAAGTATTAAGTTGCTTTTTCTAATAGGTTCGCTGAATCCACTGGCAATTTTCTTTAATCAGCAAAACATGCTTTAAATTTTTATCAAAATAATATTTTCTATCTATTCTTTAATTCATACCTTGATCTTAGACGCTCTTCTTCTTCATGCAGATTAGATCTTTGAAGTAAAATATACATTATTGACAAACATTCACAGGTTGTCAAAAAATCTCCTACTGAATTTACTGCACTTCAAAATGTGTCATACTCAACTAATAAATAAAAAAAAAAGCTTTACCTTATTGAATCATGTTTTTGTTTCTGAAGATTTGTAATCTGTTTGAAACTTTTGACAAATTTCACAAAATGTTAGTTCAGTGGAAAAACAACTAATTCTTGTGCTTCTTGATATGAGAAAATTCAAAGTTCAAACACAAAATCTTATATTTTATTATATCAGAGGAGTAAATCTGCAGTACCTTTCTTTAACTAATGATAGATGTTTTTCTTCTCGGCCCAAAGCAGATCTGTGAAAAACAGATAAAACTGTTTAATAACAGAGTTATGGATTGAATGTTTACTGACCTCAATCAGATAATACAGTGACCACTTGGTTGATTCCCATTGAGTTTACTGAATATTCACAGTGTTGGATAAATGAATAACTTAGAAAGTGTATAACACTTTCCATAAATCAGTACCTTAACTGGCGATTTTGCTCATGTTGATTTTCCTCAATCTGTTGAAGCCTTTAAGAACACATTGAAAAGGAAATTATATGCAATTATTGTTTTTATGCAATTTATTCAAAAATGAGGAATTAAGTTGGAAATTTTGTCACTTAGAATAAATAATTTGAAGGACTAATAAAGTGGATTAAACTGTCCATATTTTCTCCAATAAAGACAGTTTTCATAAGCTATAGTTTAACATGCAGCACCGGTTTGCAAGATAATAATTATCTAATTCTTTTTTTTATGGTTCAAACCATGTTTCCAAGATAAGTAGAGAAGAACCTGTTTACACAACAATGTTTCTGAAAAAGTTTCCCACTTTGCTTTAGCTAATATAAAAGCTAATGCAAAACAGTGTCATGAAGAGGCTTGACATTCAGATTAAAATGCAAATGAACTCTGGAAACAACATGGTGTTCAGATCAGAAGGGGTCTCACTCCCACAAGGAACAATAGCACACATAGAGGACAGTTACAAGTACCTAGGTACAGTTAGGGCCAGAAATATTTGGACAGTGACACAGGTTTTGTTATTTTAGCTGTTGACAAAAATATGTTCAGAAATACAATTTATATATAATATGGGCTGAAAGTGCACACTCCCAGCTGCAATATGAGAGTTTCCACATCCAAATCGGAGAAAGGGTTTAGGAATCATAGCTCTGTAATGCAGAGCCTCCTCTTTTTCAAGGGACCAAAAGTAATTGGACAATGGACTCCAAAGGCTGCAAGTAACTCAAAAGGCCTTTCCCTCGTTAACCTGTAATCAAGTAAGTAGTTAAAAGGTCTGGGGTTGTTTCCAGGTGTGTGGTTTTGCATTTGGAAGCTGTTGCTGTGACCAGACAACATGCGGTCAAAGGAGCTCTCAATTGAGGTGAAGCAGAAATCCTGAGGCTGAAAAAAAAGAAAAAAATCCATCAGAGAGATAGCAGACATGCTTGGAGTAGCAAAATCAACAGTCGGGTACATTCTGAGGAAAAAGGAATTGACTGGTGAGCTTGGGAACTCAAAAAGGCCTGGGCGTCCACGGAAGACAACGGTGGTGGATGATCGCCGCATACTTTCTTTGGTGAAGAAGAACCCGTTCACAACATCAACTGAGGTCCAGAACACTCTCAGGGAAGTAGGTGTATCTGTCTCTAAGTCAACAGTAAAGAGAAGACTCCATGAAAGCAAATACAAAGGGTTCACATGTAGATGCAAACCATTCATCAATTCCAAAAATAGACAGGCCAGAGTTAAATTTGCCCCAAAACACCTCAAGAAGCCAGCCCAGTTCTGGAAAAGTATTCTATGGACAGATGAGACAAAGATCAACCTGTACCAGAATGATGGGAAGAAAAAAGTTTGGAGAAGAAAGGGAACGGCACATGATCCAAGGCACACCACATCCTCTGTAAAACATGGTGGAGGCAACGTGATGGCATGGGCATGCATGGCTTTCAATGGCACTGGGTCACTTGTGTTTATTGATTACATAACAGCAGACAAGAGTAGCCGGATGAATTCTGAAGTGTACCGGGATATACTGTCAGCCCAGATTCAGCCAAATGCTGCAAAGTTGATCGGACGGCACTTCACAGTACAGATGGATAATGACCCCAAGCATAAAGCCAAAGCTACCCAGGAGTTTATGAGAGCAAAAAGGTGGAATATTCTGCAATGGCCAAGTCAATCACCAGATCTTAACCCAACTGAGCATGCATTTCACTTGCTCAAATCCAGACTTCAGACGGAAAGACCCACTAACAAGCAAGACCTGAAGGCTGCGGCTGTAAAGGCCTGGCAAAGCATTAAGAAGGAGGAAACCCAGCGTTTGGTGATGTCCATGGGTTCCAGACTTAAGGCAGTGATTGCCTCCAAAGGATTCGCAACAAAATATTGAGAAAAAACTTTTTTGTTTGGGTTATGTTTATATGTCCAATTACTTTTGAGCTCCTAAAATGTGGAGTGTTTGTAAACAAATGTGTACAATTCCTACATTTCTATCACATATTTTTGTTCAACCCTTTAAATTAAACGTTACAATCTGCACTTGAATTTTGTTGTAGCGGTTTCATTTCAAATCCAATGCGGTGGCATGCAGAGCCCAACTCACGAAAATTGTGTTACTGTCCAAATATTTCTGGCCCTAACTGTATACCACAAGCAAAGCCACAGATATTAAGACTAGAAAGCTACTAACCATGCATGGAGGGTTCCATCCCAAATCCAGCACCCTGAGACTGTACACGAGCCGCAAGGAAGTGAGTGTGAGGACGAAACAACTAAGATCCATAAATACATCAGCAAATAACCCAAGTGGCTGATATCAGTAAATCCTATCAATGGAAAAAGCACAGAGGCCCTCATCCTGGCCGCCCAGGAACAGGCCCTAAACACCAGAGCAATAGAGGCCCAGATCTACCACACCAGACAAGACCCAAGGTGTAGGTTGTGCAAGATACTGGCAGGGAAAGCGTACATGGAGCGCCATAACCAAGTGGCAGGCATAGTGTACAGAAACATCTGTGCAGAATATGGACTGGAAACCCCGAGATCAAAGTGGGAAACACCCCCAAAGGTGGTGGAGAACGCCAGAGCTAAGATCCTGTGGGACTTCCAGATCCAGACAGACAAAATGGTAATGGCGAACCAACCAGACATTGTCGTAGTGAATAAACAACAGAGGAAAGCCGTTGTGGTTGATGTAGCAATACCAAGTGATTGCAACATCAGGAAAAAGGAGCACAAGAAACTGGAGAAATACCAGGCCTCAGGGAAGAACTGGAGAGGGCCTGGAAGGTGAAGACCACAGTGGTGCCTGTGGTCATCGGGGCCCTCGGGGCAGTAACCCCCAAACTGGAGCAGTGGCTACAAACAGATCCCAGGAACAACATCAGACATCTCAGTCCAGAAATGTGCAGTCCTTGGCACAGCCAAGATACTGCGCAGAACCCTCAAGCTCCCAGGCCTCTGGTAGAGGACCCGAGCTCAGAGGATAAGAACCACCCGCGGTGGGTGAGAAGGGAATTTAAATTATATTATATATATAGTAATCGCAGTAAGTGGGCATGTTGCACAAGATCTACAAAGATTAAATATGGTCTTAATTACAGGTATTACTGTGGTTAAGACGGCTTTGTTTAAATGAGGACTTTGCGTGAGACACCAGCTGTCATCATGGAGGCTGCTGGAGAGCAGTGGCCATAAAAGAAAAATCAAGTAGAAAGTCATTATGCTGGAGTAATATTAAAAATTCATTTAATTTAAATTAGTATGCAAAGTGGCAAACAGTAAAACTATTTAAAGATAAATAAACTAAAGATCTAAACCATAGTATTGTTTCCATATATCAGTGGATGCAGATGGCTTCCATTTATTTTAGTATCATTTGTCAGGGGATGACAACGTAGGAATGTGTTCATTATTAAATGGATTTAGAGACAATGCCTGAACCATTTCTGAAATGAGATTTCTACAGATTGTTGTATAGGTGGCTCTTTAATGTGCCAGAATTTACAGACTTTTTAAATAGTGAAAGTTTGTGTTTCTCATCAATAAATGTAAATTACCTTTCATTGATTGCTTCAGTTTCCTTTTCTTTGTCGTTTAGAGCAGCTCTGTGGAGTAAAACATGAAACATGTAAAACATGAATTTATACAAGGCTGAAGAAACAGAGGAGTCAGTCAGTTGAAATGAATCACATGGATTATTTCTGCTGAATTTACTTCTGATTTTTCATAATGTATTGGTTTGATAAACCTGGTTTGCCTGTGAGTCTGCACTGAATTTTAAGTATATTAAGTTCATATTTATTAGTGGTGGAACATTTTAATCAAATGCAGGGAGTGTAATTAATTAATAACAATTAATTTGAAAACTATATTGACAGAATAAGAAACATTTTCAACGCAAAAGCCTGCTGTTAAAGTATTGAATAAACAGGCCTGTGACATATTTTAGGCTTGAATAACTCCTTTATTTACAAAGGAATTATTTACAGTGTCCCATTAGATTGTGTTTTGAAGGAATCTTGGTCATTTTCCAGTGGGCCAAGAGAAGCAGCTTTTTCATCCATGGTTGTTGTTTACAGAAATCGCTTGTAGATTAGATTTATGGGTACACCAAAACTCACAAATAGGATTAATTATGTTTTAACACTTCAAAATCTGTGTAACCACTTCATTAGACAGTTTATCTCACCATGGTTTTGAGTTATTATTGGCAACTGAAACAAAGTCCTAATTTAAATTGGTCTGGTTTCTGGTTGGAAACCTGTCGCAAGTATACGCAACGGCAAACCTAACAAAATAAATAGCCCTTGAACAATGTCATCACTGAGGGATCAGTTCATCCCATCACCATCAGAATTTACTATGAAAACATTTCTCACCTACAATCTGCCCAGAGGTTTATATCAACCCTCCAGGAAAAACAAGAAAATTCACTCCTCTACATACCAATGTACCACAAATTCCTTTGTTTCATTTATCAACTTAACCTATTGGTAAACTTTTGTCTTTTGCGGTAAGATGTTAAAAACAGCATATCTTTGTTTGGTTCTAGTTTAATTTGTCTAAAAAGTCACCTTATCTTCTTATGTTCCTGTTGTTGTTCGCCTTCCATAGTTTCAATTCTTCATGCAAACATGAGACATGTGTTGGTAATGTTAATCAGGATGTACATGTAACATAGAAACAAAAAACACAAAACTGTCAGACAGTTGCAATGAGTTCAATGAATCCAATGTCAAGAACATAATCCAGAAAATGTCCTCTGAAAGCCTGGTCTGTAGTGATAAAAATCTACTGTTGTTATTATTATTTTGGGTGCAGGGAGTAAAACTATGAAGAGCAAATGCTCTGAAATTTTCTTCAGTTTTATTCTTATTTGCTGAGATACAGTACCTTTTGTTGATGGAGCTCACTCTTTCTTCTGCTTCTTTTAATAAACATCTGTACATAAAATTCATGGAATAAAAAAGGGACAAAAAAGGATTTACTAAAGAACACTTTGCTTACATAATATTTACATTTCTTGAAATTATTTGCACACTTTTTCAAAGAAAAATCACATATTTACCTTATCTCAGGATGAGACTGAAGAGAATCGTCAGCCATTTGTTCAACTTTTAGAAGGAACAAGAATTAATTATGATACCATCCATGAGACAACATATTTAATTAATCCAGCAATTGTAGAATCTTGTTGATGAATTAATGATTTCCTTCTATAACTTAGTTTAAACTAAGGCACTTACTTGGAGTCACAGTCGTATGACTTTCCTGTTGCTCTGCTTCGTTTTGTTCAAACTGAATGTGTCAGACAGATTACATTCATAATAGTCAAGATGTCTCTTCATGGAAGGGTTGGACTTCCAGTAAATCCTGCCCAATAAAAGTGTACATATAAATATCTACCTGAAACACCTGCCTCTCAGTTTCTGATTCTTTTCCTCTGCACAGCCTGCAGGATCTCTTCCAGCAATGGAGGAATCTTACATCATAAGCATCGACTTTGGAACAACATACAGTGGATATGCCTTCAGTTTGACACCCAGAGAGAAAGAAGTTGACCCACATGTGAAGTTTTGGGGTGAAGAAGTTGGACTAGAAACCCCAAAGACTCCAACCTGCATCCTGTTTGATGAAGATCAACAATTTGTCAGCTTTGGATATGAAGCCAAACAGACTTATTTAAATAACTCAGGCAAAGAATCCAGAGCAAAACTCTTCTTTGATTGTTTTAAGATGTCACTCTATGGCAAAGTGAGTAATAAATATTTATCAACAATATATTTGAGCTACTTAGTCTAATATAAAGAGCTCAGCATTATTACTGCAGTATGTCACTTTAATAAAAAATATATTCTTTTTTGCATGTGTGTTGACACCATGACATATAGTGAAACAGTAAAGAAATTGATCTCCTCTGCCTTTTCCCAGTGCTAGTTAGAAAACCAATCAGTGTTGATGCTGTCAATGCCCTCTATTTAAGCTGCAGTTTCCTCCTGACATCAGAGCCTGTTGTGAGTACCAGGCTAGTTAGCATGATTGATTGACAGCACTAAGACCCTCCCCTTGACTCTGACTGATTTTTGATCAGGAGTGGTTCATTTCTTCAAATGATAATAAAAGCTCAGGGAAGGATGTGGAGGTGATTAATCTTTTCACAGAACTGTTTCATAACATACTGTCACAAGATAGTGAGAATTTTAACAGATACTTGAAGAAGATATATATTTTTTAAAAGTCACCTGTTGAAACTTTAAAGTAAATTTTTATTCTTACACTGCTGATGTTATTGGAATATTATGTTTGCAACAATATTCTGGTTTTAATATCTGAATGATCTAAGAATTAATTATGATACCATCCATGAGACAACATATTTAATTAATATTTAATTAATCAGTTCAGTCAACACAAGTTGACTGAACTGATATAACTGTCAAACAGCATTTTAAGGTAACAAACAAAAACACAATTCTGACAGTGGATTTATATCTGAATTTCTTTTCAGTTGTTTTGTGAGTTTTTTTAATGATTTTTGAACTAACTATTAAACTACATTATAATATCTTACAGTTTTTTGTACGATATTACAACAAAATGTTTCTACTACAAAGTTCAGGCAGTGCATGGGTTTTCTCTTCAGAATAATGATCTCTTTATGCTTCTATTAATTGAACTAATATAATTATCAAATATCTCTAAAAAGTCACCAGAGATCTGACAATCAAAGCAGCCAATGGGAGGGAAATGAAGGCTCTGAAGGTTTTTGCAGAAGCTTTAAGATTCCTGAAAGAAGACGCTTTGAAGACGATTCAACAAAACATTGAAGGAACTTCGTTCACAGCCTCTGACTTCACCTGGGTCCTGACGGTTCCTGCCATCTGGGATCATTCAGCCAAACAGTTCATGAGAGAAGCTGCAACTCAGGTAAAACCCACAAACTGTTAGACACCTCAGTGGTAACATTATTACTGTTATTACTGTTTCAAAATATGAATTTTCTCATTGCTTTCAGGCAGGAATTGTGACAGAGGGAACTGAAAACAGTCTGGTGTTTGCTCTGGAGCCAGAAGCAGCTTCAGTTTACTGTAAGCTGCTTACAGTAAACTGTAACTACAGTTGTATAATGTAGTTACAGTTTACTGTAACTACATTATAAGCTGCTTACAGTGAACTGTAAGCAGCTTACACCATGGATAACATCAGCTACTAATAAACATGGTTATTTTATTTGAAAGGTTTCACAATGGTTTGTATCTATATTTTCATGATTAAACATCTAGTATTTTTTTTGTTGTTTTGTCAATCATAGATGGATGCTGAATAATTTATTTTGCTCTCATTGTCTGATACTTTCTATGAATAAAATACATTGCCTAAAAAGTGGACGTCTTACCTTTTTATTGCTTTTACTGGAAGGTTTGCAAAGGTAGAAGGTAAAATGGATGCAGTAAAATATAAGGAAATTCTAAGAAATTCTAAGGTCTTTAAGCTTTTATAAATAAAGCTTATAAAAGTTTTATAAGCTAATACAACTTAAGCTTAGAAAAGCTCTAAGGAAAGCTCTATAAGTGCTTTACTTTTAGAGCACTTGTTATACACAAAGGCAGCACATTGAATGCACATAGAACTGCAACGACCTGTGGTATTCTTGTATGGATGGTGATGTCTCTTGGATTTTCCAGGCTGTCAACAGAGGGTGCAGATGATCACTGCAGGATGGACCTGAGAGATGGCTTCATCCTGGACAGGTCGCCAGTCCATCACAGAGCAACGCAGGACAAACAATCATGCACACACACACACACGCACACCTAAGGAAAATTTAAAGAAAGCATCGATGGAATGTGGGAGGAAGAACCTCACTGTTTGTTGAGGCACAGTAACATTTGGGAGGGTGACAAATATTTCTTGTTTGTTCTAAAGTAATAAATGAAATGACATCAGACTCATGTGGTGCTTTATTAGGACACTCAAATAAGTTCACTATACTTAAAAAAAGTTAGGAAACCAATTGCCTCAAACTCTCCAAGTAGCTAATTCATTTTAAGGTGTTATAGCTATAAAAAACTGTTTAGATCACTCAGATAATGGCAGTAAACCTGAGTGCCGTTAACTCAAAATCATTAGTAAGGTTGACTATAAAATGTCAATTATGACTACTTCAATTTGTGAGTTATGTCAATTAAGCAGTACTCATAAAAATAAGTTATGCTTACACGTTTAAGCATTCACATTATTTGCAAAATATCAGGAAACCGATTGCCTTGATTTATTCAAATAAGAAGAACCAAAAGTGTTAAGTTATTGAAACAAAGAGCCAGCAGACAACAGTTTGAATGGAAAAAAAATGTTTAATAATTAAACAAGTTTATCTTAAATAGAGGGTTCTCAAGTGTGGTTACAGACACACTAACCTGGAAACAAAGTTTTCCATAGATTTTTTCAGAAAAAAAAATGACATGACTTTTGTTCTAAGGCAGCCTTTAGTCTAATATTGAATCCTTCAAATGGCCCTCAGTCTTTAAAACTTTGAGAATCCTTGCTTAAATGTCTTTGTTGACTGGTGTGAAACAAAAACTCAATTCTCAATAATAGAGCCTAACATTTATTATGACATCAATAAAATGAATAGTGAAGTAATGTTTCTCCTCATTAGCATAAAACAATTTAGTAGTCTGCAAGTGCAATGAGGCTCCCTCCAACAAAAAAGAATCCAACAAGAAAGAGAAATCACTTTCCCAATAAGGGTAAAGGTATCTACAGTTAGGGCCAGAAATATTTGGACAGTAACACAATATTTGAGTTGCTCTGCATGCCCACCGCATTGGATTTGAAATGAAACCTCTACAGAATTCAAGTGCAGATTGTAACGTTTAATTTAAAGGGTTGAACAAAAATGTGATAGAAAATGTAGGAATTGTACACATTTGTTTACAACACTCCACATTTTAGGAGCTCAAAAGTAATTGGACATATAAACATAACCCAAACAAAAAAGTTTTTTCTCAATATTTGTTGCGAATCCTTTGGAGGCAATCACTGCCTTAAGTCTGGAACCCATGGACATCACCAAACGCTGGGTTTCCTCCTTCTTAATGCTTTGCCAGGCCTTTACAGCCGCAGCCTTCAGGTCTTGCTTGTTAGTGGGTCTTTCCGTCTGAAGTCTGGATTTGAGCAAGTGAAATGCATGCTCAATTGGGTTAAGATCTGGTGATTGACTTGGCCATTGCAGAATATTCCACCTTTTTGCTCTCATGAACTCCTGGTTAGCTTTGGCTGTATGCTTGGGGTCATTATCCATCTGTACTGTGAAGCGCCGTCCGATCAACTTTGCAGCATTTGGCTGAATCTGGGCTGACAGTATATCCCGGTACACTTCAGAATTCATCCGGCTACTCTTGTCTGCTGTTATGTCATCAATAAACACAAGTGACCCAGTGCCATTGAAAGCCATGCATGCCCATGCCATCACGTTGCCTCCACCATGTTTTACAGAGGATGTGGTGTGCCTTGGATCATGTGCCGTTCCCTTTCTTCTCCAAACTTTTTTCTTCCCATCATTCTGGTACAGGTTGATCTTTGTCTCATCTGTCCATAGAATACTTTTCCAGAACTGGGCTGGCTTCTTGAGGTGTTTTTGGGCAAATTTAACTCTGGCCTGTCTATTTTTGGAATTGATGAATGGTTTGCATCTACATGTGAACCCTTTGTATTTGCTTTCATGGAGTCTTCTCTTTACTGTTGACTTAGAGACAGATACACCTACTTCTCTGAGAGTGTTCTGGACCTCAGTTGATGTTGTGAATGGGTTCTTCTTCACCAAAGAAAGTATGCGGCGATCATCCACCACTGTTGTCCGTGGACGCCCAGGCCTTTTGAGTTCCCAAGCTCACCAGTCAATTCCTTTTTCCTCAGAATGTACCAGACTGTTGATTTTGCTACTCCAAGCATGTCTGCTATCTCTCTGATGGATTTTTTCCTTTTTTCAGCCTCAGGATGTTCTGCTTCACCTCAATTGAGAGCTCCTTTGACCGCATGTTGTCTGGTCACAGCAACAGCTTCCAAATGCAAAACCACACACCTGGAAACAACCCCAGACCTTTTAACTACTTACTTGATTACAGGTTAACGAGGGAAAGGCCTTTTGAGTTACTTGCAGCCTTTGGAGTCCATTGTCCAATTACTTTTGGTCCCTTGAAAAAGAGGAGGCTCTGCATTACAGAGCTATGATTCCTGAACCCTTTCTCCGATTTGGATGTGGAAACTCTCATATTGCAGCTGGGAGTGTGCACTTT